CTTAAAATTATTTTTTTATTGCTAATATTAAATTTCTACGCTAAGTCTGCATTTTCACTAAAATTGAAATATCTCACAAACTGTAAGTCCTAGGTATGCAGAACCTTTAATAAAGTTCACCTATTTTTTTACGGTGCTTTCAAAAATGCAGTAAAATACAGGGTGTTCCATTTAAAAAAACATAACTTTGATATGGTACGCTTTTCCTGGACACCCTGTATATTTCAAAATATTTTTAAAATGTAGCCGTAATCAACCTACACATACCCACCTAAACAGGTTTCTGTAACATTTGCCGATTGATCACTAGCGACCGAGGCGTTACTGGTGGCCCACCCTGTATACAGGGTGTTTGGTAAGTCGATGCATTCCTTGCAGGAAGTAATAGTATTTCGAAAACGCTTTAATAAAAATACGCAAATTTATAAATATTGAGGAAACAGCTCAGAATATGTTAATGAAATTTTACAAGTTTTGATAATTAACAACAAAACATATTTTCATAAGACACGAAAAAAAATATTAGTTTTTTTTGGGCCACCCTACTATGTATGTTTTCAACCACGAAAATTGAATAATTTCAAATATTTCGAATTTTCACCACCAAGAACGGCGATGACAACATTTTTAAAATAATGGCGATGTTCCGCATGGTACTAGCTATGTCCTGTACACATTTAGTTTCGCTCAACTCACTCGGTTTCAAAAATACAATACCTATATGTACGTTTTCAGCCACGAAATTTGAATAATTCTACATTTTTCGAATTTTCACCACCAAGAACGGCGGTGACAACATTTTTAAAATTATGGCGATGTTTCGCATCGTATTAGCTATGTCTTGTACAAATTTAATTTCGGTTTCTTTGGCTTTTCAATGAAGAAAAAATTACAAAAATAACCTCAAAAATTAAATATTTTAATATTTGTAATAAATCTTGCACAACCGCATAATTTTTCGAAACTATTATAGAATAGTCTCAAATTTTTGTAAAAAAAGCCTTATCATTTATGTATCTGGTGGCGAGATAAAGATCTAGTTTCGGTCAAAATATGCCTTTGACTGACCGGATTTTAAATTTTCGCTCAACTAAACTAACAAAACTTACAGNTTTTTCGAAACTATTATAGAATAGTCTCAAATTTTTGTAAAAAAAGCCTTATCATTTATGTATCTGGTGGCGAGATAAAGATCTAGTTTCGGTCAAAATATGCCTTTGACTGACCGGATTTTAAATTTTCGCTCAACTAAACTAACAAAACTTACAGGTACTCGAAAATGTCGTATTTAATTGAAATTTTATTAATCTGTATCCGTTTTTTTTTTTTTTGGATTTGTATCAGGGAATGGTAATTTTAATCATTTTTCCCTTTAAAAACAAAGACTTACTTTCATAAAAACATTTATTTAAAAAAATACAATAAATATTGTCTTACACAAGTAAATCACGTGGGAACACAGTACAAATTGCATTAAAAACATCTCTTAATCACAGCCAAAGAAATATACTAACCCATTTTCTCGTAGGTCAGTTACATAATGGGTGAATATATTTTACAAAGTGTTACTGGATATACAGGGTGATCCATTAACGGTTTGGTGCGGCTGTATATTGGAAACTAGACGTGCTACAAAATTTCAAGACGGCGTCCTTTATACTGACGTTGCTATGGTAATAAAAAAAAAGTTGAAACAAAACTTGTGAAGAGTTTGACAATGTATCTAAAAAGTGTATTTTCAACTTGGGTTATATAAGCGAAATTTCGAAAAAACGACAATTTTCTGTAACACTATAGCAGTTGCGCCCTCTAGCGGCAAAGTTACAAACTTGAAAATATTTTAAATCAATTTCGTTTGGTCATATTTGTTCCTAGATTTTTCGCCCCATGATCGTATCACGTCGAGTTTCCCATGTACCGTTAATGGATCACCCTGTATATACAATGCTTATCATATCGTGAGTTTGCATCCTGTTTGGGTTGCCAAATAAAACCGCGAAGCCTTAAATAACCCGACTGCTACCAGTGGCGTACCTGTTTAATTATTATTCAAAATCACAAAATCTAAAGGCAGCGCCACACGATAACGTCGATCACGCACTGATTTTCAGGACTTAAATTTTTAAATCAAAATCTAACTAAACTATAGCTAAAATTTATTACTTTTCTTCGTTGAATGAATTAGGCGAAGCTTCCTCGGGACCAAATCCTAACCTCAATCTATATATTCCCTCGAAGGTGCAAAATTGTTCGATTTGGCAACAGAATTAGTGTTAGAGCTATCAGTTAAATACACGCAATAAGTTATTTAACAACTATAGAGGAGCAGTCGTACGGCCGATTTTTTTTTTATATCACATTGAAAAATTCACGAGAAAAACTACCCGTTACATTAAGTGACTAACCAACCACCGTTCTACTTGCTGCTGATGGGGATGGGTGTGTATCACGCTTCTTTGCCGTAAGTGGTATATCTGTAGCACCAAAAGTGGACCTCGTCTTCTTCGTTGCAGCACATTGGGTACACTATGGGGGACTTGGTCTGTTTGGCGCAACGCTGGCAGATTTCGATTTTCTTCGACTGAAAAAAAAAGAAAGGACGTAAAAAATAAGATAAACGGGTCATTAAGACGAAAAGAACATCTTTATTGTAATATACCATAGGCATAGATTCGGGATAAGAGATCCGGTTGAAATCTAGCTGCAAATGAACTTTTCCTGGAGGTGATGCCACTAGAAATGTGACATATTATCTTTGCTCCCGGCGCCCGAAAAAAAAAATACTCGCTTGATAAATCCGGTTATAAATAATCGGCTAGGGGTCAGCTATATTTCCCGCAATGCCTCCTCCGATTAGATAAGCCCGATACCAAAATACACCTCCACTTGTGGCATATCACCGCGTTAAAAAGTTTACTGGAATTTACGAATAAGGATAGCAGGGTCGCGAAAAATGAATATCCTCACACATCTGCTTCGTTGTGTTATTTGTAGATAAAAACTATCAATAGTTGTTACAAAATTAAAGTCCATAATGTGAAACAAAATATTTACTTCATAGTATCTCGAGAATTACTCATCAAATTGGTCTGTAAATACTTATTTTTGTATCTAGAATGTAAATAAAAAAATAAGCCAATTGTGTTATTACAACAATTTAATTTATATTTGAATCGAGACGGTTTAGGCGCGGTGACTATCATAGCGACAGCAACCTAATAAACTAAAAATAAAAATTGGTTGTTTGAAAAAATAATGTCAGAATTATATATTGTAATTCATATTCTAAGTGTTTAATTCTAATTCAAAATGAGCTCGGAAAGCGAAGACGAGCATTTACCGGGGGAAGTATTGGAAGCTGCACAAAGTGCTGTTTAAATAAAATAAAAGCTAATTTTTTCGACCATTTTGAGATTTGAATGTTTGTTGCTCAAATCGAAAAAATGTGTTAGAAAAGAAATATATATTTTTTGAAATAATTTTGTTTTAACTTACATCTGCGTTGTCGCAGCCATAAGCGCTGGAAGCCCACTCACCACTAGGCCTGGCCATCGTTTGCCTCATTACCAAAATCAGGAATATAATGTAGACGACCAAAACTGACTGAAAATAAAAAGAATATTAAATTGTGTATCTGTGCAATATACCAAACAAGTTTCAGATAGATTGAGGAACCGAATATGGTTGAAAATTTATCACAGTTCGTTAATCCAATTATTTCTTTGCTCTGTCATAAAGTGGCATCTATACGGAAGCGTTTTTTTGTCAACTTTAACGCTCTTTAGCGTTCAATTTAGTTAAATCTGCTTATTTCGATCGCAGGACATGTGGTAGCTCTACAAACTGTTAAGAGTTAGTACGTTTAAAAAGAGGACACCCTGTAGTAATAACCCGTAACTAGAACCGTCCCTGGGCACCGTCCTGTCCATTTTCGGAAGGAGACAGTCGACAGTGCAAGTGATTAAATCCTAGTACGAGGAGTTATGTAACAAT